CCAGTCTGGGCAAATAGTTTGCAAGACCCTATCTTGAAAAAATCCATCACAAAAAAGGGACTGGTGAAGTGGCTTAAGATGTAGGCCCTGAGTTCAAAACCCTGTACTGCCAAAAAAAAAAATCAAGGAGAGAGAAATGCCTTAAAGACAGAATTGTTAAGCAAAAAGGAGACAGAGTTTAAAGCTTAAAGATTTGAAAAATGCTCAGCCTGTCCAGTATTTAAAAACAAAAGAGAGAGAAAATCTGTTCAGGAGAGAACACTATGGTTTCATCAGTGTCCCTTTGATAAGGGGATTAGTTTGTGTGTGACCCAGATTTTAATCAAATTTCCTTTGAACTGAACAGGAAGTAAAAGGAATGAAGAAGGGCTGTTGGGTTTCCCTGGATTTTATAGGATGTAGGGCTATTTGACTAAGAATGTGTACTGTTCTTCAAGTCAAGGACATGATTCTCAGAGCAATTCAGAAGTTATCAGGGCCACCTCCTCAGTTAACTGGTGCGATCATTGCCTTGCTTCCAAAAGGCCAGATGGCCTCTGCCCAAAGCTGCAAAGGCAGGGCTTCCTGGCACAGCACTGGGGTTAAAACCTCTCCTAGGTAGACCTGAAGGGAAGGGACCTCTACTCCAGTAGGTCCAAAAGTCCAAGATGATTTATTTCCAAGCTTTAAGATCCCACATAATTTGCCTTGTAATTTGGATTTAGTAGGGACTTGTCACCCCTTTCTTCTTCCCTATTTATATAGGAATGAAATATCTACCTTATGCCTATTCCATCATTGTATTTTGGAAGCATATAACCTGTCTCATAGGTTCATAGCTGGAAAGCAATTTGTCTTGGCTTAAAAGGTACTTTGAATCTTATCCATATCTGATTTAGATAATGTTTAGATGAGACTTTGGACTTAAAGTTGATACTAGAACAAGTTAAAACTCTTGGGGCTACTAGGATTAAATAAATGTATTTTGCATGCGAGGAGGACATGAATTTGGGCAGGGGCAGAATGCAACGGTATGTTTGTATCCTACAAAATAGGTACCCTGAAACTCATCCCCCAATGTGATGGTATTTGGAGGTTGGGCCTTTAGGAGGTAATTAGGTCATGAGAGTGGAGGGCTAATGAAAGAATTAGTCCTTTATCAAAGAGACTGACCTGGATGTGATGATACCCACCTATAATTCCAGCACCCAAGAGACTGAAGCAGAAGGGAGATCAGTTCAAAGCCAGCCTGGGTTACACAGTGAGACCCTGTCTCAAGAAACAAACAAACAAAAACCAAACAAGCAAAAAACCAAACCCAAATGTCCAGAAAACAGGATAATACTACATAATAAAAAGAATATGACAGGGCTGGTGGGATGGCTTAAGTGGTAGAGTGTCTGCTAGCAAGTCTGAGGCCCTGAATTCAAACCCCAGTGTCACAAAAAAAAGAAAAAAGATATATACTGACATTGATATATAAACATCTTAGATATTATAATAACATCAAGGATATGCTGGGTGAAGAAAGCTGATCCAAAAGATTACGTATTATGTGATGCTATTTCTATCATTTTTTTTTAACTCAAGTCCTCATGCTTTGCTAGGCAGGCACTGTACCGCTTGAGCCACTGCACCAGCCCTTCTTATGTTCAGTATTTTCTTTGTTTCATATTTATTAACATATATTCCTTGTATAGTGGGGATTCATTGTATCAATTCCAAATAGCTTTACCTTGTACATTGGTTAGACTGCTCCCACCATCTCACCCACCCCACTGAAAGCAATTGCAAGAGGTTTCATCACTATTTCATATGTATATATGTATATGAAGCTAATCAACTATATTCCCTCACCTTCATCTCCTCCATTCCCCCTTCCCCTCCCACAAGTACCATCCCCCCACTGTACCTGTTTTTACAATCCTTTCACTATTAATTCCAAAGTCAATGTTCAAAGGGGTTGCTCACGTATCCCCGCTGTGAACATACTTTGGTCAGTTCAACCCCATTACTCTTCCTTACCACTTCCTTCCCACCTTGAGTGTTGGGTATTTTCCAGATAGGATCTTGAGAACTATTTGCCCAGGCTAGCCCCGAACCCAATCCTCCCGATCTCTCCCAAGTAGCTAGGTGTGAGCCACTGGTGCCCAACCTTATATCATTCTTGAAAGGACATATAGGCAGTATGATGGTTAATTTTTTATTTTTGGTGGTACTGGGATTTGTACTCAGGGCTTCTTGCTTGCTAGGCAGGCCCTCTACCACTTGAACCACTGTGCCAGCCCTGTTTTTTTTTGTTGGGTATTTTCAAGATAGGGTCTTGAGAACTATTTGTTCAGTCTGTCTTTGAACTGTGATCCTCCTGAACTCTGCCTCCTTGGCAGCTAGGATTACAGACGTAAACCGCAAGTGCCCAGCTGATGGTTAATTTTATCAACTTGATTAGATTTAGAAATACCTAGTTTAGTAAAGCATATCTCTGGCTGGTTATACATGTGTTCCACACAGAATTAACAGGGCAGAAGACCCAACCTGAATGTAGGCAGCAATATTTCATAGGCTGGAGTTCCAGATGGACAAAAGGGTTGCACAGGCATTACCTTTTTCTACTTATCATGATGTGAACGTCTCTGCCACACCATCCCCACCATGATGGGCTGACACCTCTGAAACCCTGAGCCCAAATAAATCTTTCCTCCTTTGAGTTGTTTCTGTCAGGTATTTTGTCACATCACAGCAATCATAAAAATAACTGATACAGGTAGGGAACAGATTAGTAATTGTAGAGAATAAGGGGGAAGAATTGTTTGGTGCAGCTGTAAGTGTGGTACTGTTATGGAAATCTGGAACAGAGACATGGGACACCAAGGCTTTTCAGGAAGCAATATTTATTAGCATGCTGGCAGTGGCTCAGCAGATTCACATCCAAAGGCTGAGCCCCGAGAGCAAAGGGGTCTCACCCTCGTAAGCAAGTTACAGAAGCAAAAAGCAAAGTTTCAACCATATATGGTTGCATGTCACTCAATTGGCTACTTCACCCCCAGTGCTGTGTGACCTTCTTCACATTTAAATTTTTAAGTTTTATCTCCCTGTTATGCCATCTCCTTCCCCCTGCTACATTATCACAACACAGACTTATTTGTTTTGGACCTCCTCCCTGCTACAGTACCATGAAGGGATAGATAACACTTAAAAGGGTAACAGACAGACAGACAGACAGACACAGACACACACACACACACACAACACACTCACTAGTATATGTAAAAACTGGTGAAATGAAATCTAAATAAGGCTAGTTATCAGTGTTCTTGATATTTTGCAAATGTCAACTTCCTGGATTTTGTACTATAGTTATCCAAGGTGTTACCTTTGGAGAAAGCTGGATAAAGGGCAATGAGACTCTACTATATTTCCAATTTCCTGAGAGCCTATAATTATTTTTTAAGTTAAGGAGAAAGTCAAACAGAATACAAATTCGTTTAGTTTAGTTTTTTTTTTTTTTTTTTCTGGTACCAGGGCTTGCAGGGCCTACACCTTGAGCCACTCCACCAGCTTTTTTTGTGTTAGGTATTTTTGAGATAGGATCTCGTGAACTATTTGCCTGGGCTGGCTCGGAACTTTGATCCTCCTGATTTCTGCCTTCTGAGCAGCTAGGATTACAGGCGTGAGCCACCAGCACCCTGCTACATTTAAATATTTTACCTTTGGGGAAAAAAAAAACCTGATTGTGTAGGGCCATATGGGTCAATTTCTTCATACCTCAACTCCAAAATAGATGTTATAAACCCTATTTCATATTCATTGAAATTGAAACTCAGATTAAGTAATTTGCCCAAGGCACAGATGCAGAGGCTGAACCCAGAAAAATCTAACTCCTGTTTATGGGTGCTTTAACTGAATCCTGATTGGTCTCACTTAGATGACACTGTAAATTATTCTTCTCTTAACAAAGATTAGAGGACTTTATAGTTGCCATTTTCTGCTGTTTAAAAATACCATTTTCCCATGGAGGAAATGGCTAAATAGCTAATAAGCTGTGGAAAGAAGTGAAATTGTATGCATAGAATAACAATAACCAAGAAAATTTTTAATTATTTTTTAAAGAGGAGGGAAAATATTACTACAACGTATTAGCAGTAATTCTGAAAACTACACAATCAGGGATTCAATAAAATTCTTGGAAAATCTGTCTCTTGGACATCACTGAAATATTAAATCTGATTTCTCAGTATCTCCAGCTTCAAGAGGTTGCATTGCTTTGCCAAAAACTCTAAGGAGAGTCATCTAAATGCATAACCAAAGATGCCAACAGAGTAGTGGCCTCAAGACCATTTACAGCATAGCACAAAAACAGAGGGATGTAATGAGTTTTAGAATTCAAACCACCCACCGACAAACCAACGGGGTTATGGAGTTCGCCTACACTTCCTCAGCCACATGAACTGCAGAGAAATCTAGCACTGCTGGCGCAGGTTCGTCCCCTCCATAAATACGTAGGTACTATAAAGCACACACTTCTCCATTTAGTCAGGCCTCGTCTACACTTTGCGGGGCACAAGCGACCTCACCTGCTTATTAGGAAACTTCATAACCTTCCAATCCTACTCTTTTGTGCCTGTCCCACAAAAGCAGCAGCAACGCTCAACTACAAAGTTGAAGTTCGGGCCTTGCTCTTCCCCAGTACAATCACGAGCTCTTTTACAGCCACAGCGGCCTCTGACGGGCATGGCATTATTACCTCATCGCTGGCACCTGCCTGGCACCTCCCCCAGTCACGTGGCGGCGCAGGCCGAATAGCCAAGGCCCACGCCTGCCAGACCGCCGCATGCGCTCACAGAGCGGAGCTCGCGGGACGCCCCGCCCCGGACGCATGGTACGGCGGCGTTAATCCTCCCCGGAGGTCCGGGCCGCAGGGATTAAGAGTTCCCACCAAACATTGTTTCCGAATTCCGCTGCCGGAACGTGTCCTGATTGGCTTGCTCTGGAGGCGGGGAAGGGACCTATTTGACACTGGGACCACTTCCTGAAGCGTGAGACAGGAAGTTATCTGATACCTCTGGAGTGCTGTAGAGAAAGTGTTCTCTGCCGCATTGGTGGCGGCGGGAGCTGCAGGTGACTCGGAATACTGGCGGTTGGGTCCCGCCGTACATAGGAGCCTGTCTCCATCGCAACATCACGGCCCCCTCCTCCAGCCCCGAGCCCGGCACGGCTGCCCCGGGGGCTCTTACTGGCTTCTTGAAACCACGCCAAAGGGCACCTACCCAGGCATCGCCTGGGCCACCAACCGGGGGACTGGCTCACTCCTTCAGCACTCTGGGCAGCAGTAAGGGCTCTAGTCGCCTCACGCCCTACCTCCGCTCCTTAAGCCACCGAGACCCTGGTCCAGAGCGACTGCCTTGGACCCGGGACTAGACGGATCCAAAACGCTCAGTCCGGGGCCCCCACCGACGGGGCTCTGCATTGTCTCTGATATGTCACCCACCATCTCCCACAAGGACAGCAGTCGGCAGCGGCGTCCAGGGACTTTCAACCACACTCTGGATATGAAGAGCGGTCCGCTGCCGCCGGGCGGCTGGGCTGACAGTCATCCCGACTCGGTGGGCGGGGAAGGGGACCGAGAAGCTCTTCTGAGAGACATCGGGCCTGTTGACTTCTCCAAACCCGCTAGGAGCTACAGGGCTGAGCTAAGCAGTATTTTGCTGCTGCTCTTTCTTTATGTGCTTCAGGGCATTCCTTTAGGCCTGGCGGGAAGCATCCCTCTCATTTTGCAGAGCAAAAATGTTAGCTACACGGACCAAGCTTTCTTCAGTTTTGTCTTTTGGCCCTTCAGTCTCAAATTGCTCTGGGCTCCGTTGGTTGATGCTGTCTACTTTAAGAACTTCGGTCGTCGCAAATCTTGGCTGGTCCCGACGCAGTATGTACTAGGGTTCTTCATGATATATTTGTCCACGCAAGTGGACCGTTTGCTCGGGAATACTGATGGCCGGACGCCTGATGTGGTCGCGCTCACTGTGACATTCTTTTTGTTTGAATTCCTGGCCGCCACTCAGGACATCGCTGTGGATGGCTGGGCGTTAACTATGTTATCCCGGGAAAACGTGGGATATGCTTCCACTTGCAATTCGGTGGGCCAAACAGCAGGCTACTTTTTGGGCAATGTTTTGTTTTTGGCCCTAGAATCTGCCGACTTTTGTAACAAGTATTTGCGATTTCAACCTCAACCCAGGGGAATCGTTACTCTTTCAGGTAGTGTACTTAAGCTGTTACGCTGTTAGGTTTATTATACGTCCTTTTGACAGTGTATGTGAGGTTGGACGGAAGCTCATTATTGAATTTACTGGAAATCGTTATGGTGAATGACTCGAGGTATGTTTTGTTAAAGTGGGCTTCTTGCAAGTGTCAGTAAAGCCAGAGGACGACCTTAGAGCAGTCACAATTTGGCAGTACTCGGTAGTGAACTGGGAAGGGCAATCCATAAAATAAAAAGCTGAGTTAGAGGTCCACGGGCACTTGCTGAATATGCAGATGCTCACGTCATTCACATTTTCCCTTTTGTGTTTTGTTGGATCCAAAGTTCTAGCTTTTTGCTTTCTGATCCATCTCCACCTCCCACTCTTGTGCCTGCAATCCTCATCTGGCCTTGTGAATGGAACCGGCAGTTCACTCTAATATTGACTTGGTTAAGTGACAGGATTCTAAGGGCCTCCCATGAATAAGACAGGATGCTGCCTCAGGAATGTGGGAGATGAACATTTTAGGAGAATCTAAAGTCACTAGCTATTGGCTTCCTGTGGGAGTCTGGCTTCACATGGATACCATTTTACTCTGACATTTGCTGTGTTTTCTTTACACAGATTTTTTTTTCTTTTATTTGAATAGCTGTTTGAGTAACTGGAATTTGAACTTTGTTCTAAAAATAACTTCCTTTTTTTTCCATACTAGGGTTTGAACTCAGGGCCTTGATCTTGCTCGGCAGGTGCTCTACTACTTGAACCACTTCGCCAGATCTTTTTTGTTGTTGTTGGATATTTTCCAGATAGGGTCTAGTGATGTATTTGCCCTGGCTGGCTTCCAGCTGAGATCTTCCTGATCTCTGCCTCCTATATAGCTAAGATTAAAGGCGTGAGCCAATCGCACTGGCAAGAGCTTACTTTTTAAATTTAAGTTTTTTGTATCTGTGTGCAGTAGACTCCTGCTTTTGGTTCAAACATTTTAGTTAAGAGTTCTTAGGGCTGGGAGTGTACCCCAGAAGCATAGTGCTTGTCTAGTGTCTGAGGCCCTGAATTTGATTCCCAGCACTAGCGGGGTGGCGGGAGGAAGACTAATGATTTCCTGAATTTTTATTCTTCTTTAATAATTACACATATCACATTGTTAGTTTTGTACTTTCTGGGACTTAGTATAATTATGTTCATTGGAGTGTGTGTGTGTGTGTGTGTGTGTGTGTGTGGTGTCTGGAGTTGAACCCAGAGCTCCTGGGTAGTAGGCAGATGCTCTACCACTGAGCTAAATCCCAAACTCTAAAAGAATCATATGAAGGAAATAGGTAATCAAAGAAGTGCTAAACACTGAGGCACAGGAAATACTTAGAAAAATCTGCATGTTAAAAGGAGGCATAACTTTTTTTAAATTTAAACATGTTCTGGGATTAACACTGTTTTGAGTGTTAAGATAAATGGATATGGAATACACTGAAAGAACAGATTCTGGCATCTAGAAAGCAGTAATTAAATTTAGAGCGGGAAGAGTAGAATTTCTTATAAATAAAGCCTTTATTATTGCTGAGATTGGCTCTTTCCTGCCTGCAGAGCAGTCCTGATCTTAGAAGTAGACTTTTTCTGTTCTTTTATCCTTTTTTTTTTTTTTAAGTCTCTGGAGGCAAGGAGAGACCATTTAAGCTGCAAGAAATCATTAATCCAAAAGAACAAAAAGTTTAGAACATAGTTTTCTAACTTGAAAAGATCATGTATGTCATTTCTTCATTCCTATAGCTGAGGAAATTGAGGGCAAGTGATTAATTAGAGGTAGAGATATACTTGTAATTGAGGGGGTCCTCACTTCTAATTTGGTGTTTTTCGTATAGTTAGTAGGAAATTAGAAGCAAATCACAAGGAAAACCTTGAGACCTAGGTAGAATCCATGCTGGTTGGGGCTTTTCTACCAGAGAATAAGTTTCACTGTGACTCCTGATATCTAAAACACATCAGTTTAGATTCTCAGGAATGACAGATTAAAGTTTTTTGTTTTAGTTTTTTTTAACTGTCCTAGGCCATTCATGCTTATTTGGTGCCAGTAAGGTAATAAAGTGTTACAATTTAATAAAACCTGGGAATTTTCTGCTCCCAGGGAACTCATAGCTTACAATGCAGATTTACAAACCAAAATAATGAAGTGGGTAGATAGATGATGTAAATTAGTCAGTTAAGTTGTTACAAGACTGTAGGAATTGAGGACAATGACTTAAGCAGCTCACACCCCACTAATGGAAGAGGCTTCTCAAGGCAGTAAGACCCCAGGATTTCTACACCTTATATGTATTCAAGAAAAGCTAGAAACTCCCTTTTCATTTCCCAACTTTAAAAACACTTACTAGATTTATATAAAATATGTCCTTGCCGGGTACCAGTGGCTGTAACCTGTAATGGTACATACTCAGGAGGCAGAAATAATGATCACTGCTGGAAGCCAGCCCTGGCAAGTTGTTCGTGACACCCTATCAAAAATAGCCAACACAAAAAAGGGCTGGTGGAGTAGCTCAAGTGGTAGAGTGCCTGTCTAGCAAAAGTGAAGCCCTGAGTTCAAGCCCCAGTACCACCAAAAAAAAATGTCATTAGGCCAATTCTAGCCTGTGTACTGATAATTGAGATGTCTTCTCTAGAAGCGGTATAGGAATAACCATCAGAAGAAGTTAAGTAGGATAGGAAGCAGTATATCTGAATTTAGGGGCAAGGAGCAGGGTAGTCTGAAACCAGAGAAGAGAGCTAAAGACATTAGCACTTACAAATCATTTTTTTATAGGTAGGCGTTCACATATAATAGTCAATCGGAGAAAAAAAGATGTTATTTTGAGAAAACTGATGCTATAAGTATGAATCCAAATCAAACTTGTGATGCTAGCAAAAACAACACTCTTTGTAAGACATTCATGCTTTGAACTAGGAAGAAAGCAGGACATTCCTTCTTAGTGACAGATTTCTTTGCCTTGCTTTCCAAAGCAGTACTCATTAACATATTTTATGTAACTAGAAGTGCTTTTTAGAACTTTAGGCAGGACTAATTGACCTATTACTAGATAAGCCAGTTATTCTTATTTAGGCTGAAATACATTCTTTAGCATCCGTATCTACACTTAACACACCTTAAATTCTCACGTAGACAAAATGGCAAATATGGAAAACAGATCTGTAGTTAATAGGGAGGTGGACAGGAAGAAGTTAGGATATGGATAGCATTGAGGGAGTTTTGGGTGGTAATGGAACTTTTTTTTCTGGTACTGGGGCTTAAAGATGGAACTGTTCTATATCTTGGTTGTGGCAGTGACTTTAAATCTATGTATGTGTTAAAATTCATACAGCTGTACACCAAAAAAACTCAGTTTTACTGTATAACAATTTAAAAGTTAAAATTATTTTAGAAAGTTAAAAAAATCTTAATCTATTATCTTAAAAGTTAATTTCTAGGTAAATATCATTCAAAGTATAATGATATAAAATCCTGGAGGTCAGCTCCCTCTTTGTCTTCAGTGGAACCAGTTAATAAATCTGGTGAGCCTTATATATCAGTATAGACAAATAGAGCAAATTTGAGCTTATTTTCAATTGATGGTGAGATAAATGGAGAAATGCAGGGATTAGTAGATTTAAGGGAATTCAAAATTAAAAACCAGATACCCACACCTGAGAAAGAAGGAAAGAGGGTGTTAAAGTCTATTTTCTTTCTGTCAGTACCCGAATTTGAACTCAGAGCCTCACACTTGTTGGCAGGCATTCTACCACTTGAGCCACCCTGTCAGCCTTGTTTTGTGTTGGGTGTTTTCAGGATATGGTCTTGAGACCTATTTGCCAGGCACTGGCTTCAAGCCGCAATCCTCCTGATCTTTGCCTCCCTAGTAGCTAGGATTACAGGCAGCAGTCAGACAAGCAGCCTGCTTCTAGTTTCATTTAAAAAAACAAAGTGAAGGGGAAATGATACTGTGTGTTTTCTTCGTCAAATAATAAAGAACTGGGGAAATGCTTTTGTAATGGATGAAAAATTCAGTTACAAAAACTTAAAAATTATTTTATTAGGCATATAGCTTACTCTTAATTTTACTAAAATTATTATTTAGAGGACAATTGTATTAGCTGTTTGTTGTATTTTTTTTTTTTTTTTTGTGCTGCTGGGCATCAAACCCAGGGCTTCTTGCATGCGTAGGGAAACACTTTACCACCACTTAGCGATTCCCCCATCCCTGTATTAGCCTTTACTACATAAATTTATCAATGAAAGAATCATAGAACTCACTAATTACAAGCAGTATCCTACCGTTATTTTTGGTATATTCCTGAAAACTATATTGATAAGCCAAAATAGAATAATTTTGTATTTCCTAGTACAAAGGACCTCTCTGTTCCTAGAGAATTAAAATTTAGGTTGGGCATAGTTGAACGTGCCTGTAATCCCAGCCACTTGAAAAGTGGAGATTAGGATGATTGTGGTTTGAGGCCAGCCCAGGCAAAAATTTTTAAGACTCTGTCTCAAATATTCCAGGACTGTCATCTCTGCTATGCTGATGTACATGGGAGCATCATTGCCTGAAGCTGACCCTGAGCAAAAAATATGTGAGACCCTGTCTAAAAAATGACTAAAACAAAAAGAACTGGGGTATGGCTCAGTAAGTACAGCACCTGCCTTGCAAGCACAAGGATCTGAGTTAAAATCCAAGTACCACCAAAAAAAAGTTGAATTTAAAATCCCCAATTTGCCCGCTCTTTTAGTGACAATTGTAGATAAGTCTTGGATTTTATGCACGTTATTGAATTTCATTCCCTTCTCCACTAAGTATGCTGTCCCTGATGGCTGACGTCCGGTGGTCATCAATTAATCTACAAGACAGATGATTTCAACATGCCCAACAAATTTTAGCTTTTTTCTGATTGTCATATATTGTATTTGAGACTTATATTTCTTATTTCTAGCATATTATTTGAACTTTTTGTTTTATTTTGTTTTTGTGAGACAGGTTTGAGCTCAGGGCTTTGTGTTTGCAAAGCGGGTACTCTGCTGCTTGGGCCATGCCTCCATTCCATTTTGCTGTGCTAGTCTTTTGTAGATTCCCTGTTTGCCCATGCTGGCCTCTAACCTTAATCATCCTGATCTCAGCCTCCCAGGTAGCTAGGATTACAGGAGTGAGCCACCAGTTCCTGGCTAGATCTCTTTTTTTTTTTTTCAGTAATGGGGTTTGAACATAGGGCCTCACACTTGCTAGGCAGGTACTCTACCACTTGAGTGACTCTGCCAGCCCTGTTTTGTATTGGGTATTTTTGAGGTAGAGTCTCAAAAACTGTTTGTCTGTGCTGGCTCCAAACCTCCATCCTCCTGATCTCTGCCTCCTGAGTAGCTAGGATTGCAGGCGTGAACTAACATTTTATATTTTTTAAGTTTCACTTTTAATCTTTTTTTCTTTTTTTGGAGATATTGTGGTTTGAACTAAGCTCTTCACACTTGCAAGGCAGGCACTCTACTACTTGAGCCATACCTCTAGCCCTTTTTGCTGTTTTTGGAGCTAGGGTCTGGCTTTTTGCCCAGGTGGTCCTGGACCACAATCCTCCTATTTTATGCTTCCCACTTTTGGTGGGATGACAGGGGTGCACTACCAGCTTTTATCTATCAAAATGAAGGCTCACAAACTTTCCTGCCCCAGTTGGCTTTGGTTTTCCTGATCTCAGCCTCCCAAGTAGTTATGATTACAGGTGTGAGCCACCAGCACTTGACTTAAGTTTCCTAGTTTTTTTAAAACTTGTATTAAAATAATGATACATTGACAGGAAGTTGCAAATAAATGTTAAGGGAAGTGTCATGCACACTTCTCCCAGTCTCCCTTTGTCAGCATCATACATACCTATAGTATAATATCAAAACCAAGAAATGGATGTGTATATAATATATAGGCCTTATTCAGATTTCACCTATTAAGACATACATTTTGTGTGTGTGTGTGTGTGTGTGTGTGTGTTTGTGTGTAGTTCCAGCCATTTCATCCCATGTCTAGCATTACATCGCCAACATTATCAAGGCTGCTTGACTAAATTCACCATAAGATTCCTTTGTGTTGTCTTTGTAGCTGTGATTATCTATACTCTATCCCCAAAATCTGGCATCCAGTAATCCGTTGTCCATCATTATAGTTGTTACTTCAGAAAATTAAATGAAACCACGCAATACGTATCCTTTGGAAATTGGCTCTTTTCACACAGAATGATTTCTTAATTTCATGCCAGTTGTTGTGGGTATCAAATGTTTATTCCTTCTTATTACTGAGAAGTATTTAATTTGTTAGCCCTAACCACACATCCGTTGAAGGAATGTGGGTAATTTCCAGTTTTTGACTCTTATCTGAAAATAAGTCTTCATTTCCCTGAGGAAAATGTCCAGGAATCCAAATGCTGAGTTGTATGGCAAGTCCTTTTTAAATATTGAAAGGCCCTGCTAAAATTATTTTTCAGAGTGGCTGTGCCATTTTTTGTTTATTTTGGTTTTGTTTTTGCTTTGTATTTTTGCTTTTGAAAAAGGGTCTCTCCATGTAGCCCCAGGCTGGCCTGCAACTTTTGATCCTCCTGCTTCAGTCTCCTGAGTACTGGAATTATAGGTATGTGCTACCATGCCCAGCTGTGGTTGTGCCACTTTATCTTCTTACCAGCAGTGTATGAGTGACCCAGTTTTTCTTCATCCTTGGCAGCATTTGATGTTCTTGTCATTTTTCATTTTAATTACTCTGATAGTTGTGTAGTCTGATTATTGTATAGCACAATATAAATTAAAATAAAGTAATAGAATAATTATGTAAATACTACTATTTGAAGAAGATGAAGTTGCTGAAATGCAACTACGGGCTTATACTTTCCGTCTTCATGTGATAGTTTGGAGTGTTCATTATTAACTATTTTATAAGTCTGAATTCAGCTCACAAAAAGATTTAGGGATATCAAGTTATACATAGGTTATGCAAAACAAAAGTTGATGTAAGAACCTTCTATCACAGCACCAGAATGAATGTTTAATTAAAATGAATGTTGCACCTAGCCAGAACATACTTTAAAAAATGATTTACTTCCATCTGTTTAGCAATAAAAGCCTCAGAATTAGAATGAGAGGGAGCACTTGTTCCCTTAATCTCTGTCTTGGGTGCTGTGCTTAGTTGAGCCTAGTGTTTTGGAGCATCGTGGCCCACCTGCTTCACCTGCTGCTTTATTTAAAGAAACAACATTCTTTTTCACCCCTGGAGGAAAGCTTGACATTATTGGAGTTAATGAAATGGTATGTGATCTCATACATGGCTCATATCAAAGTGGTTATGAAATACAAGGAACTAGGAAGATTTCATAATTAACTTTTATATTTACTCTATTTTTGCACTCCATGCTATCTTCTGAAAACTCAATCCCCAAATCAGATATGACTACATTATATAATTAAAACAGCATTTTCTGTGAGTTCTGTTCAATATTGTGGATATTTCAAGTAAATGCTTTAAGGGACAGGTTTATGAAATAGAAAGGTTTGTTTCTGCTAAGATTCATCTGGTGAGCCAGGGTCAGGCACATAATATTACTGTTTTGGTCTGCTTTGGGCTAGATGGTGGATGTCCAAAGTCCCCTCATGCACCAACTAGTAAAATAGAAAGCTGTGCCAAACCCAAGAAAGTGGAGGGAAGCCTTACACTTACTTAGATCAGAAACTAATAGGGTCCCCACCACTGACTTCTGCAGGACTAAGGTAGTTTCCATACCCTGCGAGAGCTAGAGGAAGAACCCGACGCAGAACGGGTTCGGGAAGAACCCGAGCCAATTGTGGTTGTGTCAGACAGTTTTGCTTAATTTTCTACTTCTTCTGAGGGTGAATAATGAACCTATACCACATAGGTTTGAAGGCCTAAACAAAAGCTTCAAAGCTTAACATTTTTTTAAGTATAATGTTTGTCATTGAAGTTCTTAGAAAGTTTGTCTCCTGCACAATATATTTTTTAGTGCAATGGGATTTGAACTCAGGGCTCATTCTTGCAAAGCAGATGGTCTACTGCTTGAGCCCTACCTCTTGACCATTTTCCTCTAGTTATTTTGGAGATGGGGGTCTCTTGAACTGTTTGCCTGAGCTGGCCTTAAGCCAAGCTCCTCTGGATCTCAGCCTCCCATGTAGCTAGAATTATAGTCATGAGCCACCACACCCGGCTTTAGTTTGCCTCTTAATTTTACCTTTAAGTATTTCTACGTTTTATACAAACTACTTTTCCTGTCTGATAAGTTTGCTTATCAAATGAGATAATATATAAGAAAGGAACATTTAAATACTAGGTTAAATTGGTTCATACACAAGTAAAATTGATTCAAACTTAATAGTATGTCTTTATCATAAGTGAGGTTCAAGCTTTAGTGATTACTTCGAGCCCAGCATGATGGTCATTCCTGTAATCCCAGCACTTGAGAGGCTGAGGCAGGAGGCTCACTAGTCTAAGACTAAGCTGGGCAGCAAAGTGATGCTGTCTCAAGAAAAGAAAAAGATAGTATCTTTAGGATTTTTCTAGTCAAGTCTCTTGTTTTACAGACGAAGCAACTGAGACAAGGTCTTTCAATAAGTTTCGTATGGCAAACTTGGATGCAGTTCTCAGGGTGATTAATTAGATACAGGTTTTAGACCAGTTGTATAAGACATCAAATCATAGTTTTACCACTGACTTAGAATTTAGCTTTGGACAGCTTAATCTGGAAATTGGGCTAGCGATAACCTAACCTGTTGGGTTGCTGAGGAAAAGAGATATATGTGTATGGCACATGGTAGGCACTTGATTAATGGTGCCTCTGTTATTATTATTATTTTTAGCTGTGGAGCAGACTTCCAGACCGTTATTCAATAGCTCTTTACTCAGCCATCTTTTACTGAAATAGCCCAAACAATACTCTTGTGTCTCCGTTTTGCAACTACAAGTTTGAGGAAGTTACTTTTGTACATCTGTGTTGAAAAGAGGTTGTTACTCTTAAAACAGATTAAACACAGTAGATGGTTTTAAAATAAAAAAGGAAAATCTGATGTAAATTATCATGTATTTTTTATTGTCTGAGTTGTCATTTAATAAAGAACTGCAGTGTTTTGTGTATGGAAATATGACTAATGGATTTTATGGGAAATTAAAATCATCTCCTGTCCTTACACGTCCCTTGAATAAAATGACACGATAGACTTTTGTTTCATTCAACTCAACTATATGCTATATGTCTAACTTTTTTTTGTCTTGGTGAGTATTACTATTTCTAGTCTATGTAATAAATGTTTAAGAGACTCAGGACAGTTTCATTCATCTGCTGTGCCTCAAACATAAGCATCTAAATTTTTTTCAGTTGACAAAAAGTTGAATATTATTTAGTATCAATGAAGTTATGTCATTTCAAAAGTTAATTATAGATTTAAAACATTCTCAATTTCAGATTTTCTTTTTTTCTGGGGAACTGTATTTTTAATAACAACGACATTGGTTGCCCTTCTGAAAAAAGAAAACAAAGAAGTATCAGTAATAAAAGAAGAAACACAAGGGATCACAGATACTTACAAACTGCTTTTTTCAATTATAAAAATGCCAGCAGTTCTGGCTTTTTGCCTTCTGATTCTAACTGCAAAGGTAAGAGATTTATAAAGCAGATTTACCCTTCTGTTATAATCACCAATATCACGGAATACTTTCAGTGCCTTTTCATAGCATAAGTTCCTTTCCACTTGGATTTAACAATGAGAAATTATATTTTTTGCTTATTAAATATTAATAAGATTAATAAGATTAGAGATATGGCTCAAGCAGTGTAGTGCCTGCTTTGCAGTTGTGAGGCCCTGAATTCAAACCCCAGTCCCACCCTCAAAAAAAGTGTGATATCAAATATAATTTCAAAGTAAGCTAAATGTCTTAGAATCTTAAAAGACTTCTTGTGAAGAACTACTAATAAATGAAATTTTATTAATGATATTAATGGCTGGGATGGAAATAAATACCATGAAAAAATTATTAGCTCTCTACTGTTATGATGTATACCCTGAATGTTAGGGTAGTAGAATTACTCATTAAGCACAATTTACAAAGATATGGAAATACTGAAAGGAAATACACCGTAAGATGAATGGGATTACTGGTGACTTGTTCTGTATTAAGATGTCTCAATTTTATAGCTCCAAGATATTTTTCGGATGTTATGCTAAAAGAAAGGTAAGTATATTTTGTTACGGTGAACTTTTTTCTCTTGCTGGAGACAATCTACACTCTTACAGAATTTTCATTTTTTTTGTTTAAGCCTATCTATGTAAACACTTCACAACTATCTTTTGCCAACCCTAGAGGAAATACCATAGCTTCATTTTTTTCATTTTAAGTAGTGAGTTGTTATTCTCCTTTAATGATAGAGAAGGGGAGTTTAAAAACTGAATGGTTCAAGGAGGAAAATATCAAATTGCATCATTTGGAAATAAACAGTATTTGACATTTTTGATATGTTTCTTTTGAGCCTCCTCATTTCCTCCCTATATGTGTGTGCATGGATATATGTATATCTGTATTGACTTAATATGTACATACTTACACGCACACTTTAAAAGCGAATTGAATCATACTGTATATAATTTTTACCTTATTTTTCCAAACATATTCTTGTATCATTGAATAACATTTGAAAGCATATTTTTTAATAGTTACATGATAGCTATAGTATGTAAGTTTGCTATAATCTACTTATTTTTTCTTCATTTACAAATTTGCGTATTTTTTAAATTGTTCTTGTTTTGTTTTTTTACTGGCACTAGAGTTTGAACTCAGGGCCTCCTTCTTCCTAGGCAGGTACTCTACCACCTGAGTCATGCCCCCAGCCCTTTTTTGCTTTAGTTTTTGGGTACGGTATCGCACAGAGCCAGCCTCAGACAAAGATCCTCCTATCTACAACTTCCCCCTGTAGCTAGGATTGCAGGTGTGCACCACCATGCCTGACTTACTAATTGAGATGAGGTCTCACTAACTTTTTGCCCAGGCTGGCTTTAAACTGTAATTCTCCAAAGCTCTGCCTCTTAAGTAGCTGATATTACAGGTGTGAGCCATCATGCCCAGCCACTAGTGAACATTTTTGTGTGTAAGTTTATTTGATGTTATGACTGTTCCAATAGATTCTTAAATAGTGGGTCAGTGAAGATGATTAGTGACTTACTTTTCAAAATTTGTTCTAACTTATACTGTCCCTACTAGCATACAAGGAGGTACTTTAATTATAGAGTCTATAATCCTTATTTTCATCTTAAAGTAAACCTCCTGAAGAGTCACATCTCTTCTCACTTTAATACTATAAATTAATATTCCTTGTTTTTAAATTTTTATATAAATGAACTATACAATATGTTTCTTTTTTTTTTTTTTTGAGGGGGATGTAGAAGTCCTGGGCTCAAGTGATCCTCCTCAACTTCCAAGTAGCTGGGATTATGGTTTGCTTCTATCTGGCCTGGCTACTAGCATGTGGACTCTTAGGTCTTATGTACATGCTAGCTCAATTTATTCATCTTGTTCATAGCAAGACTTTGCTAAATGTCCATTGTATGAATATGCCACTATCCATTCCATCAGTATATGTGTAGAGCTATTATGAACAGTGCTTCTTCCAAATATTCATGTACATGACTTTTGGTGACCATAGGTACATATTTCTGATGGGAAAACACAGAGGAAGATAATTACTGAGTCATAGGAAATGCATAATATATACTGCCAGGCAGTTTCCCAAAGCGATTCCAGTTTTTCCTCCTTCAGCAATGTGAGTTGATTGCTTCACATCCTTGAAAACACATAAATCATCTTTTTAATTTCAGCTTTCTGTTGGGTGTATAGTGGCATCTTGTTATGTTTATAATTTTGAATTTTCCTGATGGTTAAAGAGGTAGAGAATCTTTTCATATGGTTATTGGCTATTTGAATATTCAGAATTGCCTTTTTAAAAAATTTGTAAAAAGTTTACATATTCTGGATATAAATGTTTTGTTAGATGTGCATTACAAGTATCTCCTACTATATATCTTTTAAGAATAAATGTTGAAGTAAGTTTTTAATCTAATTTTTACAAAAAGAATGGATAAAATGTAAGTGAAATTTTTTTTCTGGACTTAAATAATGTATATATGACCTTAAAAGTTTTTTTTGGTCCCTGCCCCTGACCTTTAAAATTTTTAAGGTGAAATTTTCTCTTTTACTCCACTCTAAGAAGTTTAGATGTATACTATTTATAATTTCTTTTCTTAAAAAATTTATCATTGGGCTAGTGGAGAGGCACAAGTGATAGAGCACCTACCTAGCAAGTGTGAGGCCCTGAGTTCAAGGGCCCCCCTGAAAAAATTATTACACAATTTCACATTTGCTGAAAATTTACTAGCAGGAGCCAAATGCCAGTGGCTCATGCCTGTAATCCTAGCTACCTGGGTGGTTTAGATCAGGAGGATTGTGGGTCGAGGCCCATCAGAGCAAATAGTTCAAGACCCCATTTCCAAAATAACCAGAGCAAAATGGACTGGAGTTGTGACTCAAGCTGTAGAGTGCCAGTTTTGCAAGTGTGAACTCTCATCTATGAAAAACATAAATATGTATTTCCTAAGAACAAGACATCCTTTTATAAAACCATAGCTCAATAGAAAGTAGCAAATTTAAAATCAATATTCTTATCTAATCCCAGTTTTTATCCCAGCTTTATCTAATCCTAAATTTTACCAGTTGTTCCAGTAACAGCCTTTATAATGTTATTCTTCCCTGGCAGTGATCCAATACAGAATCACACATTACATTTGGTTACTATGATCCTTTCTTTGTCCTTAATAACTGAAGTGTTTTAAAGAATACAGGCCAGTTTTTCCATAGAAGGGCCTTCATTTAGATTTGTTCCATGTTTCTTAATGTTTGAGTTCAGGTTATGCAAATATGACGAATATCACAGAAGTAATATTTTAATGTCACGTGGGGCGATATAGCATCCCTTTATCACCTGAAATATTATTTTTAACTTTGATTATTTATAGGTTATAAATTACTGTTTTCCCTTTGTAATTAAAAACTAGTTTATGAGAAGATACTTCCAGACTAAATTATTTCACTTCAAACTTTTCTCTCTCACCCTTTTTGTTGATGTTTTTAAGAATTAATCTAATTATACCTTTGCTTCCCCCTATTTTTATTCAACCTCTAGATATACAGTATTCTCAAAATTACTTTTGAAATATTAGATGATCTTAGAAAATTTTATTATAGTCTGTCAGGAATCACCCAAGAAATATTTATGGGATTGATGTGTCATTTTAACGTGATACGTGTTTGACTAATTAAAGGATTTTCTTTTAGACTTAAATTCACAAATCAGTATGTATGAATTTTTGATGCTATTATAGTAACACATTGGACTTTTTTGAGGTGCAAATTTAGTTGTAATTCAAGCCATCTGTAGTTCCGATGGGTACCAAATTGTCTGTTGTTTTCACTAGATAATATTCGTAAATTATAAGGTAAATTGTGTCTTCTATAACTTAATTGCTATGTCAAATATAAGGTGATACCTCTGTAACTGGTCAATTATATAATTGAGTGTTCCTGAAGAACTTATATTTGGAGGAAAATATTTCATAAGTCACAAGTTGAGGTACTTCTTTGTTTTTATATTGCAGATTGGCTTTTCAGCAGCAGATGCAGTAACAGGACTAAAATTGGTAGAAGAGGGAGTACCCAAAGAACATTTAGCCTTATTGGCAGTTCCAATGGTTCCTCTACAGATAATATTGCCTCTGATTATCAGCAAATACACTGCAGGTCCCCAACCACTAAACATATTTTACAAAGCCATGCCATACAGGTAAAAGCAAAATAAAATCTTACTGATAAGAAAGGTTAAAATGGGGAACGTTCATCAGTATCACTAATATGTGGAAAAGGTTTGAAAAGCTACTTTTATGTTGGTGTCATTTATGTGTACTTTTATCTCTTCAACTTCCTACCAGGTTGTAGAGATAGCTTTCTGTCATATGGTAGGCACACATGTTTCTGTTTTTGTTGTTGCTTAACCTAAAATGGAAGTTAATTCAGTGTTTTGTTTTTTTCTATAGATTATTGCTTGGATTAGAGTATGCCCTACTAGTTTGGTGGACTCCTAAAGTAGAGCATCAGGGAGGATTCCCTATATATTACTATATCATAGTGCTGCTGAGTTATGCATTACATCAGGTAAGTGAGCTTTCCCAGGAGGTTAACTATTCTGTGTAAAGTAAAGAAGAAATTTTTCTACAGTTGCCTTAATGATAGTAAAAGTTTAAGATACAAACATTAATCTAACATAGGAAATAATTTGATGGTGAACTTTTTTGGCTTTTGATTTAATGTTCATGTAGTCTCTTATTCATTTTTCTTTCATTTTTCTTTTTTTTTTTCTTTTATTATTTATATGTGCATACAAGGCTTGGGTCATTTCTCCCCCCTGCCCCCACCCCCTCCCTTGCCACCCACTCCGCCCTCTCCCTCTCCCCCTCACCCCCTCAATACCCAGCAGAAACTATTTTGCCCTTATTTCTAATTTCATTTTTCTTTTAAATTATTCATTCATTTAATAAGAATTTGTTACATTTCAGAATTAATTGCAATGCAATTAATTAGTAAAAGCTAATTTTACTTTTTCTTTTTTGCAAGTGCTTGTATTTAGGACCTCATGCTTGCTAGGCAGGCACTTTACCACTTGAGGCATACCCCTACCCTTTTTTGTTTGGGTTTTTTTTCTGATAAGGTCTGCCATTTTTTGCTCAGTGTGATCCTCCTACCTACACTTCCCATGTAGCTGTATCACAGGTGCCACCATGTGGCTGATTCCAGCCAATTTTACCCTTGCCTAAGTAACCTTTGGTGTACCTCTAGATTGGTGTTCTTTCTTCAGTTTCTATTATTTCTTCTTTCTGAAAATACTGAGAAATAATGATAGCTAGTGCATTAAATGTCTCAGGCTTTGGCTTAGATTCTGTATTTGAAGGTACAACTTACTCTTTATGATTTTGGCAGCTGTGTGTTAAACTGTTTATAAGAATGATCTCCATTTTGTTTTAGCTTCACCTAAGCTGCTGTTGAAGAATGTTGCTCTGGTTGAAAGTGCTTAAAATAAATAGCCAAGGCCCAGCTGTGTTCTTTGGTACTCAGCTGCAACTATTGCCAATGTATATATCAGAGTCACTTTGGATTTTTCTATGGAACCTAGTCTAAAGTCTTTTAAAATTACACATACCAGCTTCTTACTTAGTTTATAACTGAAACATAAAATTGTGGCTACCAGATAATCTTAATAATTTTTTTGCATACAATTAGGTAATTTAGGAGAATTCCTTAATGTGTCATGTCTGACTAAGCCGTGTATTTGTAAAAACATTGACACAAGGGTATTTTCTGTTTTGCACATACTTAACACATGTGAAAGGAAGAAAATGAAGGAAAAGCACTGAGGCACTTAAAGAAAAGGAGGAGAGACACACTGAGAAAGAATCTGTGACCTTCACAAGCAGGAGGCCTTTATTGAGGGAGAGGCTGAGACGGACCCTCAGCCAACAGAGTAGCACTCTGAGAGGGACAAGTGCATGCCTTTCTTACAGGTTGGGGTTTTTAAGCACTCTGTGGTGGGAAAAGGGAGGTTGAAGGGGGATGGGCATTAGGCAGGGTGGCTGGGGAGGAGGAATGGGGAAGGTGTTGGACATTTGCTGGGAGGATCATCTGGGCTGAGCAACCTGGTGTGTGGTTTTTCCCTAGTCTTCTTATTGGAAATAGCCGTATTTACATTGTTTCAGTGTTTCTTGGCATTCCAGCATTTCAGGCTGATATATATACACTTATATATGTAGGGAGTAATTTGTCTTCTGACCACTTCCAGCTGGGCAGGGACAAAGAGGGGCTTTTTTGTTGAGCCTGGAAAGTTTTTAGAAATACAATGGCCTTGAGTTGCTCCCTTGAGGTAGCCGAGGAGATGGCAGTAATGTGTTCCTCTAAAAATTTTTGAAGAATATTAATGAGGCACAGAAGGAACATTAGGGCCAGACAATGAAGGATGATAGGGACTGCCAGCAGGATGAGCCACAGATACTAAGAGGAAAGAATATTAATAGGTTGTGAGGATGTTAGCTGTTGTGCCCTCCCCTTGAATTTCTTTATCCCGTCCCTGACCACGCCAGACTTATTTGTAAAAAAACAATGATCATCTCCCAGGAAAAGACATAACCTGCCTTTCTCAGCTGTGAGGAGATCTAGTCCTCTCCTGTTCTATAGGACCACTGCCGCTAATGAGTTAATCTGGTCTTGGATTGCAGAAATCTGTAAGACAGTATCATTAAGGCTTTCTTTTAGGGCTTCTGACCATTTCTGGAACTGACTAATTGATACTCCTAGTCTGGCCAAACCTGTTCAAACTCCAGCAAGAAGATGCTGTCCCAACCCCAAGGTGGTGAGACCGATATCTCTTTTTGTATATATGAACCTAACAACCGGGATGGGGATAATTTCTGTGTTAATGGTGTATGATACAGGAGGAATTAAGAAGATGAGTTTATAAACTCCCATCCAGTTAATAGGCAGGCATGTGTATATTTGCAACCCACACAGGAAAAAGATTCCTGTGGAGGGGGAGAGACGTCCCATTAACTTGAAGGAAAGGAGGGGTTCTAGTTGATCTTCATTTTGCTCTCTCTTGTACAAGCAGAAGGAGATGGAGATGGAGGATGTAAGAAGGGGCTGTAAGAGAGGAGAGTGGCATTGGTTGGTGTAGGGGACTTCATGATGAGCCAGTGGGTTGGCAGGTAGAGAAAGAGCTGGGAGTGAGCTGTGAATAATAGTTTGCAGTTACTCTTAGAGAAGGGGTTTGGATAGAGTCCTGGTATGTTAAAGACTGGAATGGTACTAGGGAGGAGTCTCCCATCACAAAAGTCCAAGGTGGCTGTAGTGAAGTTGCGGGAGGATAGGGGGGTAGAGGGGGGAGGACTAGTGTGATGAAATGAATAGGTTGGGGGTTGAGAATTAGGCCATTTTGATGTGTTTGCACCTGTTGCTCCTTTGGTTAAGGAGTTTAAGCTGCCCATGATTGCTGGGGGGGATGGGAGGAGAAGGGTCTGTGTGCACTGGGAGACATTAAGGAAGCCTATGGGCCGAGAATCTGGAAAGTGGGGTCTTTGTATGCATAAAGATGCTGTGTCCCATAGAGGACAGCCTGAGCTATAGAGCCTACAATAAGAGGAGTCACTTTTGGAAGGGTGGAATGTTGTGAGTTTTCCAGTAGGGGTGTTAGAGTTTAAGTCATTGGAGTTTTAAGTCAAATAAAGCCTGAGAAGCAGATCCAACAAAAGGAGAGATTGGGATTGATGGCTAAGAGTAGTTGAGCGGAGGTGTTAATCAAGGGAGAGTATGCAGTTAAAGAGAGTGGGGCCATCACTAGCTGTCAGAGGGGTAGGATGAGGAATGCCTGCTCAAAGACAGACAAGAGATTCATTGTGAGAGGACTGTTGAGAATTGAGTGTGAAGAAAAGGCAAAAGAAGAAGAGTATTTGATCAGGGGTGAAGTCGATGAGATCTCCTTGTAGCCAGAGGTCTGAGACAATATCCTGGAAGTCTTGTGGTAGATGATACTTTTTAAGCTGGTTTTGAAGAATTTGAAGAAAGGTCTAGTAGAGTTGGAGGAGTCAGTTCACTTCCTGAATGGAGGGCAGATGGATTTTGGTGGGTCCAGTCCTGAAACACAAGAGAGCAGGATGGGGCATTGCATCACAGGGAGATAAGGCTCTCTTTATAGAAAAGACATGTACCCAGGGTTTATATCCCTGAAATTTAACCACAGTTGGGGTTAAAATAACCCATAGGAGGTCCTTCCAAGGAGGTTGTAAAGGGGAGTGGGATGCCTGTCCCTTGTAATAAACCCATTCCCCAATCTGAACTGGGTTGGGGTTTGAAGGAGAAAGAGAGGTGAGTTTTGGGAGGTGGGTGTCCAGGTGTACCCGTAGTGTTGTCCTCATATAGGGTAATAAAGAAGAAAGCAGGGGAGGGAGAAAATTAGAGGGTGTTGTAGGAGACCCAATGTTACAAGAGATAATTAGCAGAGGTTTTCAGGGGAGAGCTTGGGTATGGAGGAGTGTTAAAGGTAATAGTTTAATTTAGTCCATTTGGAGTTCCTGAGTAAGTTTGGTGAGTGTGTTTTCAGGGTGTGGTTGGCCTTTTGCACTTTCCCTGAGGATTGTGGGTGGTATGGAATATAGAAATGCCATCTTTACCCCACAAAGGAGGTTAATTGTTGAACGATGGTGGAGGTGAATTCTTGCCGGTTATGTGATTGTAGTGCTGTGGGGAGACCAAAATGGGGAACGATTTCTCTAAAGAGTATAATGGCTATCATAGAGGCTCTTTTGTTAGTAGTGGGGAAAGCTTCTATTCACCATGTTAGAGTGTCGATGAAAACTAGAAGATAACTGGTGCACTTAATGGGGCATGTTGGTAAAGTCTACCTGCTGGTCTGACCTGGTGGGTAGGAAAAGAAGGGGGTCGGACATTTGATAATGAGTTGGTTTTGGAACATGTGGGGCAAGAGGATAAGATTTCCTTTATTGTTTTGTGGAGACTAGAGTCGAGAGGCAGCATGGATTTTAATAAAATGAGCAAGGACAGAGGGTTACAATGAAAGATGCTATGAAGGGCAGTTAATATGGGTTTTATTTGTTGTTCTGGCAGGATGAGAGTCATTAAGAAACCAGTAACCCTGGTGTTGGTTGGCCCCTGAGTTTTTTCGCAATTCCATTTCCTTTTCTGTGTAACTGTAGTGGACTGGCAGGATAATCTGGGGGGAGGGGTTTGTTGTGTTTGTGTTTGTGCCCCCCTGTTTGGCGTTTGGTGGTGGTATCTGCTAAGTTATTACTAATAGATATGAAAGTGTTATCTTTTTGATGTCCCTAACAGTGGAGGATGGCAGCTTTGTGGAGGAGGGTGGCTGCTTGTGAAAGGGTCATAATATGTTTTGCTTTAGTTATTGGGGACGCTTTGGTTGTTAAGAAACCCTGTTCCTTCCAGATCTGACTGTTGGAATGATGTTATAGGTGTATTTTGAATCTGTATAAATGTTAACTGTCCTGCCTTTTGCCCTTTGTAATGGTCATGTAAGAGCATATAATTCTTTTTCTTTTCTTTTTTTTTTTTTTTTGCGGTACTGGTGCTTGAACTTG